AATTCCGAAGTTAATAAAGAACCATATTAACCCATTATATTTAAGTTCTAGAAATGATTACTTTTTACACATTTTGCTGTAAAAACTGTTCTTGAAAAATGTGTAAAAAATACACTTCTATTGACGTTTGCTGGGTCTACACATAAATGTGGAAACGCAGTTTACACATTTTATGAGTAGGCCCCTTATTTCACGAAATTTGTGAAATTTTACACATTAATGTGTTTAAGCTGGTTACCGTTTAGTGACTCCAAACATAATATGCGTTATCAGCGTTACACAAATATTCAACCGTTGCTGTTGGGAACACTGTACGAGATTCCCCTCAACCGACTCCGGCCACTTCGGCACGATGTTAACACACCACACACCAGTCCAGAATTCATCCTCTTTCTCTCTTAGGACGTCACCGTGGTAAGTTGTATCGGTTGGGGCGGTTCTTCGCCTATAGAAATCGTTTTGCGCAATTATTTAGTCGTAAAATATACTATGACGCTTTTTATTATATTGTACATTAAAAAGCGTCAAAGCATTTTACGGAACTTCCGCCTTCGGTCAAAGTTCATTCATGCAAGAATGAACTTTGGCAGGAGGCAGTTTCCTGTCCAGCCTTCCCTAAAGCACTCTAATAAAAGTATGGACGGCTGTCAGCAAAACTGAAAAAAGTAGTTGCATTCGAAAAAGCGGTGCATTTTGCCGGTTCGATTGGAACAACATTTGGCAGACGTCCATACTTTTATATAGGAGGACTTTAGCCATCCCCGCTCGGTAATGGCGGCTTAGGCCGCGGCCAGGGTAGACGCGACGCGATGAGACTCACGCAAGAAATAAGATTGTTTTGAATTGGTCGCGTGTCGCGTTTACCCTGGCTACCACCTTATACGGGGTTTTAAAACCCATTAACAAGCGTGGAAAACTGGATAGGCTGTGAGAAGCAATATCCATAATATTGAATTCTGTCAGATAAACCAGCTACTGTCATTTTGCAAAATAGGCTATAATAATCCATTTAACGAAATGACGAGCTGGTTTGATGTTGCTTATCAAGAACATCCAGAAAAATCAAGCTGAATGCATTAAGTAACATTGATAGATTTTCTCTTTCGTTAATAACATGTAATAGCTTCTTTCAGCGATCTGTGTACCGCAAATAGCTGGTCATGAGGATGCAAAGATAATCTCTATCAATGTTATACCCCAGACAGACTATGGCTTATATCATGTAGGGGAAATGTATGTAATGTCGGCCTAAGTGTCCCTAATTTGGGCCCATACATAAATTCAGCAATCGACTAAATTTTCAATAGCAACCAAAAATATCCATTAGTACCGTCCCAATGACGCGTTCATCTAGATACAATTGATAAATAGTAGATTTTTAGCGATGGGCCCAATCTTAGATCCATAGGCCAACATTAGAGCATAGTCTTGCAATGAGCACTCATACATCTAGTTTTCACTGGAAATCCTATGTATGAGTGCTCATTGCAAGACAGCCTATATTACACGATATAAGCCATAGTTTGTACGGGGTATTAGGACCTAATACATTGTTCAGCTTGAAATTCATTTTTTCTTCAACAGCTTGATTTTTTTTTAAATAACTTGGCAACCCAGGATGGCATGACACACCAGACGAAGAACACAAATTGCGGTTGATCCTTGTTCATCAGATTAAATCAAAGAAAAATACGTTGTGTGGAGTCCGTTGATTTTATAAGCCAGCATAATGCCTCGTCGAGTTCGTACGCCAAAACGAAATCCTAGAGGTTTGGGAGCTGAGCAGCAAGAAGACGATATTAAAGGCGACGGACCAAGCTCCAAGCGTGAAGCGCCTGCCAAATTGATCGCTTCCACCAGACGATCGCGTTCTGAATCGCGTTATACCATCGATAATAAACGATCCTACAGGAAACGGTACCATTCGGAAGGAAATGTAAAATCACTTTGGGAACTGCACCAGCTTCAAGGAACGACGCAGCTTATACCGAAGCTTTCCTTTGGCCGTGCCATTCGGCAAGCGATGTTGCGGTACTGCTTTACCGGTTATCGAATTACAGTGGATGCCCTAAAGGCTATCCAAGAAGCGGCCGAAATGTATATGGTGCAGCTTTTTGAGGATTCTCACTTATATTGCCTCTACCGTAGGCGTTCAACGCTGATGCCTAAGGATATGCAACTAGCTTTGTTCACGAGGGAGAAAAGGTAGAACGAACAATTTGGTCTTGATCAGGTAACAATGGTCCATTAGGTCACCAAAAGCAGATTGTAGACGTAAAGATTGAAAGAATCAAGACTGAATTTGTATGTTTAGTTTAGACGAAACTTTTCGTAGTTCAATGATCCAATAAATTAAAAAAAAAAACCTGAGTTCTTGAGTTCGACAGATCAGCAATTGGAAAGGCGTCATTAGCTTATGTAAACAAATCTTGCGGCCTTTTTTTCGTGAATCGGAGCTGACTTAAGCAAAGCCAGTATTTTCACCATCAGGTAGGGAAAAGCATCCCCCTGCGCTTTGATCAGAGAGCTTAGAAGGCATCGTTGTGCCATGTGCCATGCAGTTTGCTCAAAAGTGCCTGAGTAAAATGCTAGTACCTTCGATGATTACCCGTAGTTGCGATAGTGAAGATGTATACCCATATTCTCGTTAATCTTGGATTTTGTATAGGGATGGGTTTCGGGTGTGTACGAGCATATGGGTGATAATATTAAGTTCACGTTCGAATAAAGTTGAAACATTGAGAAATGTATCACAGCCGATGAACCATTATGATGGCCCACATTACCGTGCAGGTGCCGTGGGTTGGTAGGGTCCAATATGGGATAGCTTGATGTTTATAAAGTACTATCAGTTAAAACTGTATTTTTGAGCTTTATCTCTATATATTATTTTGTGTTTCCTAGCAGATAATCATGCTGGTGTTCGCTGATTGAAAGAGTAAATGGGATAAGCATTGAGCTGTCCATAGTTGGGCGTTGTTGAACAAAATAATTTTAAATGTAACTAATACATACTTTACAAAAACTAATCATCTTAACACTATTTGATATTACTAACCGCACCGAGCGTTCATTCCGGGTGGTGAGCGAACCTGAAGAAGACTACAGGATGAGTGGTACCATGAGCCCCTTCTCGGAACGAGTTTATTGTTAATGGACCTGGTCTACGATTCAAAGTTGGATTCTGTGATGATAAGTATCACATAAAAGGTAAAATAGGTTGCATCATCTTCATCGAAATGTAAGTATTATTGACAATAATCATAACAATCGACTCGCATAAGTGATGATTCATTTACATAACATAAACTTTTAAATACATATACAACAGGGGAGGGCGGGTCCAACAGGGCATCCGATTGAAGCGATTTGGACGGGCAGAAGGGGAATGCCAACTCCCTGTTGATAAAGGGTTGGCTCTTCTCCCCATTTATTGGGGCATCTTCCTGTTTGAGAGCTCGTCTTTTTGACCAATTGTGCGTAGATGCGTATAGGCGATTTTGCCTATCGATCCACCCAATCCGTTTTTGGCCCTTCATACAGCGACATGTTGAGGACAATCAGAGGTCATTAAACTTGATCAAGACAAACAGAGAAGAGAGCCCACTGCTATCGGACTTCGTTTCCGTGGGTGGTAAACCACTATCATGCATCAGGTAAGGAAAAGCTTCCCCTATCAGATAGTGCTGTTGGTTTGAGTAGACAAGCTCCAATTCACGAGAAAAGGCTGCAAACAGTTTTGTATTTTCCACGGTAAAGTACCAATCTATCAAGCGAATTACCGAACAAGCAAAGTAAATAAACATTATTGTTCCACAGCCAGTGAACTAAAAGTATTGCATTCATTACTTGACAACATTTTAGTAATTTTAGATTATTTAGTACATAGTGGTATTTATAAGTTATACCAAGAAGCGGCGCCGGTGGTGTAGTGGTAAGTGTGATTACCTCTCACCCCAGCAGGCCTGAGTTCAATCCCAGTCGGCGCCGCCGGGATGTTCTGAGGCATAACATCTCTGATCACGCCTTCCTTCGGAAGGGAAGTAAAGCCGTTGGTCCCCGGTTCATGAATTGATGAGTCGATAGGTAGGGTAAAGGTGTGGGAGCTGGCTCCCTGGCGTCGGTTGCATTGGCGCTCAGCACGGAAAACAAATCAAGGAAAAAGAAAGTTATACCAAGCGCTTATTTGAACATTTTTTTCAGGTTCTATAATTGTTTTTGTCTCCCAGAAGCTCCGTTATCGACATGAAATTTTTCACTTCTGAATGAAAGTCATCCGATGCTAACGCAAAAAATCTGGTTGCCGTTTACTCTGACAAAAAATAAATCACAAACAGTGCTGATTGTTCGCAACATTTTCTTTTGGTGGGCGTGGGACTCCTATTATAACATCGACTCTGATGTGCTCAACAAAAGAGAAAATCGACCAATGCAATATTCAGCTTGATATGTATCAACGGGAAGTCCATTAAAGTCACTAGGTTGTTTTTTAATGAAACGCCACTTGATTTTCACATACGAAAAAATAAATGAATGCCTCACACATAATGGTACACAATGTGCATGTTTGTATAATGGCTGAACATTTTATCACAGACTAATTGCATTAGGTCCTAAGTCTCGTCCTAAGTAACATCGATAGATTCTCTTTGTCGACTTTCTCTTTCGTTAATAACTTGAGCACATAACCGTTTTTTGTTGTGTTTGTCATATTAGATGCTAGATAAAAGCTTCTTTATCGATCTGTGTATACCTGGGAATGTCTTTACATGGCTGTGGGGATACAAAGGGAAAGTCCACGAAGAAAATCTGTCATTGTTGCTTAGGACCTACACTCAAAATAATGTTAACGTCAATGCTACGAGAAAACAGGTATCTTCAGTAGACAGATCGAGGCACCTCACCTCACTCGTGGCGCAGAATAAAGGAAACTTACATAAAGCGTGTTAAAGGACTTTCCTTCCATGACAAATAAAAAATCTACAAATTTCATTGCACAATTCGAAGTAATACAAATACTAGCTATTTTTATCCAACATTTCATTACAGGACTCAGGAACATTAAATTTGAGAAACTCAAACTCTTCTGGCTCCGGAAATCTGTCTATTACCGTTACAGAATCACCGTTTTCCGCACAATCTGCTATCATATCTAGGTAGCCAAACCAGTAAATTACAATGCCGCTACCAAACCTACAAGAAAAATGTTCCATTTAGGTCCTCTATGATTTGATCAACAACACTAAACTACTGACCTGTTCCCATAGCTTATTAACTGGTCCCTCACGTATTTCAGGTGCGAGTCCATGTCTCCGAATGAAGCTTTGCTTTCGATCCAATTGACCACCCGTCCCTTGTACATGCAAGGAATTGCCAGCTTCAGATCCGGTGTTTTATCATAGCCAGTCCTCCTTAGGTCACCTTCATCGTAGAAAACCATTCCCATGTCACGAGCCATCTGCTTCAACTTGACCTCGTACTCCTCTCCGATGCACCTTCGAATAGTGTCTGTAATGGGACCTTCCATGTTTTCGTTGAACAAACAGTAGCTCACATTAGCTCCCAATAAGGATTCAGAAATTATGTCCGGGTTTTTAATCATTTCGCTGACTTCAGATCTCGTTTTGTCAGAGTACTTCTTCAGAAGGATGATTCGGCACAGCGATAGTGGAGGGATTCTCAGTGATATGGACATTCTCAGCAAGACATCCAAGTCCCCGCTGGATTTGACCTTCCTATAGTAGTCTCCTAGTAGGTCTTCTGCGCGTGCACTGATTTTGGCATGGGTCTGTTTCAATCGTTGCTGGACTTCCCGTGATAAAATGCTTCCCAACATTTCGGGCTTATGCTGAGGGAACTTTTTAATCAGCTCACGATTGCAGTCGATGGACAAACCTTTAAATTTGTGTATGAATAGCTGGATTTCACTGTACTGGTCATAATTTAAAATCACCATTTTATAAAATAATAAGCTATATTTAAACGCAATGCGTAAACTAATCACTTTGTTCTTTAAATATGTATAGTTATGTATAAATCTTTAATTTAGATCACGAACAAAATAAAAACTGTTGTTATCTGCTGTTTTCAATAAACAAAACAAAAAACAAAAACACATGCGAAGAAAATAATGTCAAACCACAGCGAGGTACTAGAAGAATGAAAGTGCTGCCAATAAAAGCTATATTTTGGAACTGTTTTTCCACCTGATACACGGTACACGGAAATACGAAACATGTCAAAATCGAGATAGAAAGTATCTACACACGGTGTTTCGTGAAAACCCATTTATGGGTAAAAAAAATACCCATTTTCAAACCATGTATGCAGCTGTCAAAAAATGGGGGAATTTGAAAATCTTAAGTGGGTGAAAAAATACCCATTTAAAGAATCAGTTCACGATTACATAATGGGTATATTTTTTACCCACTAATGGGTGAAAAAACACTTGGAAATTTTATCGTCTCATTCCGTCACCGACCATTGGGAATGCAAACAGTTTCTGTCCGCTTTTTTTTTTAGCAAAAATGGACAATCTCTGGAAAAGGCTAGATTCCGAAACATTGGAGAGACTTACGGATAAGTCTATACAGTTTTATCCAATATGGTACTATAATATCTGTTGTAATATTTTTTTGCGCTACACCTGCATTTATTTTCAATGTAAATATTAGAAAGTTTTTTATATCAACGAGGACAAATAACCCAGCACCAGCATCCTCCATTTGAAGAAATGGTTATTTTTTTACCCATTTTACGAAAAACATAATATAAGAAGATGGGTAAAAAAAACACCCATTTATTGACAGATCCCCCTTTTACCCATTAATGAGTAAACCATAAATTACCCATTAAATGAGGAGGGGCACTTTTAGCGAAAATGGGTGTTTTTATACACATTAATGGGTTTTTGCGAAACACCGTGCACTGTAACCAGCGTAAACACATAAATGAGTAAAAAAATAAACATTTTTTATATTTATATGCAGCTGTCAAAAAATGTGTAAATTTGAAGACCCTAAAATGTGTAAAAAAATACACATTTTAAGAATGCAGTACCAGTCAAAAAATTATCATTATCACTCAACTTTTCGTGAAATATATCGTGAATTGGTAATCAGTAATTTACAGGCAACCAATTCGCGATATATTCCACATAAAGTTGATCGATGTTACAAAACCATTCATGGACTTTACTGACTACCATAACCATAATCATTAATGTTCTCAAACCATAAGTAAAAACGTTCTAATATAGTTCTCTTTCCGAAAATGTATGGAGAAAACAAGAATTTTGAATGGTAATGGTTCTTAACAACCCATTATTTGTAAGGTCCACTTCCAAATAACTATAATACATAAGGTTAAAACTTTATCATTAAACGTTCATGTAAAGTTCCATAACCATTTCAGTTGAAGTTTAGTAGGGATTATAAACAATTTTAAACTATTTTAGGTAAGGTTTATGTTATGGTTCGCGCTTATGCGGGTACACCTCCGGTGCCGCTACTTATTTCTGTTGATGACATTTCTTTTTAAATAAAATATACACGCTAAGGTCAGATAACCCAAATGTAGGTTTACTTTACCCAAATCAGGCGTAAACTGCACAAACTCAGATATGGGTAAAATTTTTAACCAGAATATGGGTAAATTTAAGTCAAATTTGCATAAAGATAAATCATTTATGGAGCATAAGATCCCATAATTGGGTTAAAAAAATTACCCATATGTGAGTTTGTGCAATTTACGGCCAAGCTCGGTAATCTCTTTGTACCGTCTGGGTAAACTGATCTGAGCGTGTATACAATAATCGAGCAATCTTTATTTTACCATTGACACAAATAAGAAAATTCCGAAGTTAATAAAAAACCATGCGTACCCATTATATTTAATTCTAGAAATGATTACTTTTTACACATTTTGCTGTAAAAACCGTTCTTGAAAAATGTGTAAAATACACTTCTTTTGACGTTTGCTGGGTTTACACATAAATGTGTAAACGCAGTTTACACATTTTATGAGTAGGCCGAGGAGTAGGCCCCTTTTTTCGCGAAATGTGTGAAATTTTACACATTAATGTGTTTACGCTGGTTACCGTGTAGGACAGGACTTGACAATCGGGTAGCGATTTCGAGCCAATTTGCTGTCAAATCAGAGCCAGTTGCTGATTGGTCGATTTGATAGTAGCAATCGTGGAATAAAAAGGACAGAAGGATGACATCAATCTGACTAGCAGTGATGCCGAAAGCAATGTTGACGTCAATTGTGTTGTTAGTTGTTTATATTTGCGAAAGGAAAAATGGAAAATAGGGTCCACGGCGTGCTTTAAGTGCCTTCAACCGGTGGAACCTAACGATTTTAAATTGGCTTTTCGTTTGTCCGCAGTTTGATTTGTCAAATGAGCGGTTTGACCTGCCAAGCGGGCGATCAGATATGTCAAACGAGATGAGGTGCAAACCAAGTCAATATTAATTGTACGCCTGTTTGTGTCCTTGCTGATTATATGACGCGATCCGATGAGTAGATGGCCGTAGTGTTTAACGTCTTTTAAATATGGCGTCTTTGGCAAGAATTTGTATGCTGCTTATATGAGCTGTCACGTCAGTTCGTCTATTAGTCCCAAGTACATCTATCCAGCTTTCCATGCTCGGTAATGACGGCCTGTTTGAATGGCTAAATGTATCCTTTTTGACACTATCTGGAGGTTCGGATTTTGACCCTTCCTTTTCCCTCTCCCAGGAACAGAAGAAAATGGAATAACATACGCCCTCCAGCGAGCCCACCAGGTAGTGTCAAAAAGCACAGTGAAGGATACATTTATTCATACAAACGTGGAGGCGAACCAGCCTCACGCTGAAAACCTCATTAATAAAGATAAATCAATCAATCAATTGATACAAACAGGCCGCCATTACCGAGCATGGAAAGCTGGATAAGCGTACCCCATTCTAGTCGAAATTCTAGTACAACACTATGTTTGTTTTGATTTGTTATGAAAGTTTTACAGATAAAATGAGGGGTTCGTGGATTTTCCTATGTTTCGAGGGGTGAATCGATTAGTTTGGGACCGAAGAGAGTACCAGAGCTGAGCCAAAAAGTTGAACACGTTTCTTCGGGAACTTCTAGTCTTAGAGTTACCTCTATGCTAGTACACGGATAGAAATCTCCTTATACCTTTTGGCAAATTTCCATTGCTGATTATTCATAAATTGTATAAGTCAACTAATAAGCAGACGCCTTGCAAAAAGTTAATAAAGATCATGTGTCAAATGAAATGTATAAGCAGTCACACATACCTTTTATGCATTCTAATAGGACCTATGTGGTTTGTCTTATGGAATGTATAAGCATAGAGGTAACTCTAAGACCACTGGGTCCCGAAGAAAATCATTATTATTTTTGGCTCACTCAGTACCAGAACAACGGTCCCAAGCAGTCCCAAGCTATTTCACTCACCCCTGCATGTTCTGCATGAATCCACACACCCCTGATGTTATCTGTCAAACTTTCATAGCGAATCAAAACAAACATAGTGTAGTAATAGAATTTCAACTAGAATAGGGTACGTTAATCGTTTGCTTGGGACCAATAGGCTACTAAAGTGGTGAGCCAATTTAAAATCGTTAGTTTCGTATTGATTGTTGGTATAAGCAACAATCAATACGAAACTAACGATTTTAAATTGGCTCACTACTTGACTAGCCTATTAGTCCCAAGCAAACGATTAACGTACCCCATTGTAGTCGAAATTCTAGTACTACGCAATGTTTGTTTTGATTCGCTATGAAAGTTTGACAGTTAAAATGAGGGGTTATTGGTTTTTCCTATGTTTCGAGGGGTGAATCGATTAGCTTGGGACCGAAGAGAGTACCAGAGCTGAGCCAAAAAGTTGAGCACGTTATTTCGGGACCTTCTAGTCTTAGAGTTACCTCTATGGTATAAGGCTGATTCTTTGGCAAAAATGTATAAGTGAAACACATGAATTAAATAATTGATTTTCGTTTCGTGTAGGTCCCCAAGAAACGTGCTCAACTTTTTGGCTCAGCTCTGGTACTGTCTTTGGTCCCAAGCTAATCGATGCACCCCTGGAAACATAGGAAACTCCACGAACCCTTCATTTTATCTGTCAAATTTTCATAGCGAATCAAAACAAACATAGTGTAGTACTAGAAATTTGACTAGAATGGGGTACGTTGATCGATTTGCTTGGGACCAATAGGCTAGTCAAGTAGTGAGCCAATTAGTTTCCACCGATTAGTGAATGTATGCGTCAGTCAGGAGAGTCGCGATTTAGCGTAACTTTTAATCTATTTTGATTGATTATCGCTTGAGTGTGCATAAAACACACTAAAGCGTGTAGTCTAGTACTTCAGAGCGTTTTTTCGCCTTTTGCGTATTATCTGTCAAAAAACGTTTTTCGTGCGAACTCGAATTGCTTTTGCTTTACGTTTGTCTGTCCTGAAATTGGCTCATTCTTTCATTTTAGTTTGTAACGAGTGGAGCGTAGTCCGCGCGCGAGTGCAGTAATTTTTCCAACAAAATTGTTTTTTTTTTCTCAAAACCGACAATAGCAATTGTGTAGTGCGTTTCCAAGACGAGCAAAAAGGGATTAACCGTGAAAAGGTGAAAATTTAATGCTAGTGCCAATTCGTGTGCTCCTATGTTCCGTCCTCTAAATTTGGTGTTCTTCGCTGTGATGGGTGACTGGTGCTGCTGGTGCTGGTGCTGGTGCTGATGATGTTTGTGAGAAGTAGAAGAAAAAGTCGCTAATGGATGTCATGTCTGTGAATTGCTCTGGCTTTTCTCATCACTAGCGACTACGTTAGGCCTATTTTCGTCGAAGGCAGGAAAGAGGACAGTCGAGCAAATAGTGATTGGTGAGGCAAAATTATAACGAAGAAACCGCACCCCGTTCCTCGGGTTTAAGTTTTGGCCGTATCTAGCGGACAAAATAACAAAACCAAAATGCAAGCCAAAAGGTAGTGTAGGAAAATTTAAAGGAAAAGAAATTTTCTTTACCATGGTGGCTTTTTGGATACCTATCTGTCGTCGTTGTGGATTGAGTGTGGTGTTCCGGTGCGCCGCCAGGTAGTTCCTTAGTAACCAAATCGGAAAAGGAAAAACGGGAAACGGACCAGCCAATTTGCATGTGTCAAAATTGAAGAAAATATTACTCATGTCTATTTTTTACCCCAACTACTTGGTCGAGAAAGGGGGCTTGAAAATATGTGCATGCAGTTAGGCTATGGATGGTGGAGCTGCTGAAAAAAGGCTGAGAAGTGAACGAACAAGCTAGATGCTAAAGTGCACCCAGAGAGGGAGAAAGAGAACGTCACGCAGACGTCGTTGTCGTTTTCTTCTTGGTTATCTTGGGCAGCCTTCGTTGTTGTTGTTGTTGTTGTTGTTGTTGTTGTTGTTGTGTATCCATCGCTTTCAGTGGTTGTGATCGGGTGGCGGATGAGTAAGGTAAATCAACTCTTGTGAGTAATCCATCCGGGTAGCTGAGTTTGCTACATTAAATAAAGAAAACCAACCCAAATTTTGGGTTGTTTTTCTTTAGGAACTAAGATAAAGCTCAAATGAAGGCGATTAGGTATGTTGTGCAACAAACTTTAGTTATCATATAATGCAGCGGTGGTCAAACTTTTGCCAATTGCGACCCACTATGGAACATTCCATAAGCTTGCGACCCACCAATTTTAAATACGGATGATCCAAAATGACTTTAAAATGTAAACAAATTGCTTGAAAGTGCAGGATTACCTGAAACCCAATAACAATAACAGAATGGCTTTGAAACAACTTGTGAACCACAAAATAGCCCTGAAATTATCTTAAAAAGTAATTGAAACATTTGCGTAGTATCAAAACGACAAAGTAGTATTAAAACCTCAAAACGACGAAACTATAAAACATACCGAGGCCGGGTAAACTTTCAACATCGAAATAACATTAAAAGCAAAAAAAAAATCCTTTAATCGACACAAGTTGTAACTTTGTTCTCTTAACATCAATTGAGCTGAAACGTTCGCCACAGAACTACAAATATGTTCAATTTTACGATTACAAAGTATCAAATTTTTAGAAGCACCTGCCGGAAAGTGAGACACTAGGTAAAATTGCGTATATACAGATACTGTCACTAGCGGCTAGCACTTTGGTTTTCTCAAGTCATGTTTCATCAGAGACGGAAGGCTCAGTAATCCACAACGCCCGCCCATGACGGCACACTGTCACGACAAGAGCTAGATATATCGGCCATAAACCAACCGTCTCCAACGCTCCATTATGACATGATAAAGCCCTCCCACCAACGTCAAGGTGCAAAAACTAGCCATAGCGAGGGAATATATCAAAATATATTTTGATATTTTAATTATCTTGATTTAGACTTAAAAACAAAAGTATCCGTAACAAACATTGTTCAGCACAAAAAGCTCTATCTTTGCGTTAGTTTTCGAAAATATTTAATTGTTTTTGTTGATATTTAGAATTATTTGATGATGTTTCCAAATATATCTAAGTGGTCTTGCCCCTTGCTCCCACTAAACGTGCTTTAAAGTCCTCATTTAAAATCTCCTAAACACATCCCTGTGCATGGGTACCGTGGAGGCACCATATTCGAAGCGGTTCCTAAATTGACGTACTCAATAATGTTCGACTATTTTCAGTCATTATTTTTGAAATGTTACTTCTGCAAATATTAGTTCCTGTGCTCTAGGGATGATGGTGTAACAAAGTTTTGAAAAATATCTTGTCAAAATCGAGATGCGATAAAAATTAGACGAGTGCGTCATCATTAGGGACGCGTCAAATATGGTGCTGGCACGGTACCAGCAAACGCTGATTAGCAATTTCCCGGTGTTATCCCGATTGTTCCTGAAATGTTTTGATTTTTTTCCGATTGTTTGATATACTTTTAAATTGAGCATCAAATTGAATTCGATGGAGCCGAAGAGATCACACGGTAAAATGGATCATTACTAAGACGGCAGCATTTTTCAAAATCATGAATTTTGTTTTGCGTTCGAAGTCTTCTCGTTCTTCTTCTTCTTAATTCCTTTATTTAATGTCAACCATTGACCCGCATCGATTGCCATCCATAGACGAATGCCAAGGAGGCGGCGGCTTCTACACCTGGTAGATATCGCACCCATCAACACATTGGCCGGGACGAACGGTGAAGGAAGGCGGGACCAGAGATGTTTTTGTCTCAGAAAAATCCCAACACCCTGGGGCATTGTACAGGTTTTTATTGGATATCCTCAAGCATTTCCTTTAGAAGCATTTCCCTTCCCAGAGTTCTTTTAAGAATTCTTCTAAAATAAATTTGAGATTCTCTCTGGGAATCTCTTAACAATTTATTTATAAGAGTACAGAAATTGTCTGCATAACACAAAAAAAAATAGATTCGTCCTTAGATTCTCATTGACTTTTAATGTTTTTTTTTCTTCTAAGAATTTACTGAAGTTTCTTTATTCTATTTTTTTCATTTGCTTGTATTCTCCCTATAATTCTCATGCAATTCACCTCAAAGTGTGTTTCAAATTTTGCTCCGAATTATCTTGGAGTTCTCCTCTAAATTCTTATTTAAATTCACTTGGAATTGTGCTTAAATTATCTAACCACTGTTTTCGAGATGCCTTTGGAATTATCCTCAGAATTCCCTTAAAGCTCTTCGAAAAATTCCTTGATTCCCTTGATATTTTTAACGGATCCTGTAATCCTCTTCACAATCATCATGAAATTTTCCACAGAGCTAGTTAAAATTGTTACTGTGTACTCTCATAATTGACATGGAGTTCTAGTCAAAACTCTCTTAGAGTTTTCCCAAAACTCCCTTGGAAATTTTCTCTGAAATACCCGAGGGGGGTGACATATCTAAATCTCAATTCTAGATGCTCAAAAAGTCTCACACAAACGAATCAATCTTCGAAAAATCATCTTTCATTTCTCGCATCTACTTCATCTTTTTGCAGGAAATCTTCAAAATCGACATAAATCACACAAGTAAAAATCTAGTCCAGTCCAAGGATCTTGGCATTTTTATAAAGTCCAAAATCCTAGGTTTTTTTTTCTCGAAGAGGGGACGAAGTATGTATTTTTCCCGATTTATCATTTAAATTCCTGATTTTCCCTGTTCTTTGGTCACTTGAAATTTTCGCTCCATAGTGTTCAAACGGTTTCAAATCGGGTCCTGATTAGCCTCCGAAAGTTTAAACTCATTTGATAATTAACTGACTCGGCAAAAACCATTTGAAGTTTATATGGCAATTACTATGGGAAAACAAAACTTTTTGTTCATTGTCTTATAGCCTTTTTACATATTGTATCTACTATTAACAAATTCTATATTGCTATTTTTTTCAGCCACAACTTTGCAGAAAATCGTTTTTCAGCCAAACGTCAAATTAAATAGTTATTAATTGTTTAAAAGCTTGATAATCTAATGGCAAGATTAAGCAACTGTATTGTGGGCAACACTGTATTCTGCAGTGTGACATAGTAGCCATGATGTTTGTCCTCTATTCTACGCGACATAACACCAATGTTGCCTGCTGAATAGTTGATTGAGCATAATCATAAGACAACAGTGACTTGAATCATTAATAATTTGTGTGTTTCAATTTGGAATCGTTTCAAATTTTGCATCAGTCTATTGGTCACCCTGCCTGCATCACTTTAAAACTCATCCTGCTGCTTTGTGGAGTAATGATGGACGTAATAATGGCTACAGAAGTTTTACACTCGAAGGCTTCCGGACCCTCGCATGAAATATCCCGAGTCTGGAGCCTCATTGGGGAAGTCGAAACAAAGCGTATTTCCTTCATAAACGTAGGGGTGGAACTCTTGGCCCGTCTGAGGTTTATTTATAAGAAGATAATTTCTGGCCAATTATACAAAATTTCTACCAATTCTTTGTTATTAATGTTTCAATCAATCATTAATACGGATGTCTTAATTCAAGAATTTGAAAAAAAAATATATTCGGAAATTCAAAAAACATTCTTTTATGATGCTAGATTATTATAAGTACCTAAGTAATTTCGATTTTTGACAAGTCAACACCAAATAATGTTTTGCAATTTTTGTAAGACTTCTATAATTCTCTATAATTTAGCATACGAAGATCGCCAACAGAACGAATCACAACAACAGATTTCCATAAACTGTGAATAAGTCATTTATTCTGCCGCAGGATTTCTGCGTACCTTCAGTGATGCAAAGCGCCACCATAAAACACTTCAATCTTGGACGGCTGCTTGCTTTTGCATTAACCTGAGCCCAGATCAAATTCTATCAACTTGCTTGATTTCCTTGTTAAAGCTCCGTCGCTTTGAGCCCCTGGGTGTGCCTCTGCTGCGATTTCCTGCTGGGCTTCTGCTTGCTGATTTCGTTCTGACTGACCCACCTCCATTTACGTGCTCGAATTTACATTTATAGTGGCTTCATCGATGATAGAGCTCAGCCTAGAAATCCCTTCAGCTCAATCTCATTCGGTTTTATACTTAATATAATATCGCGTAACCGGAAAATTTAACATCCGGGAAATTACTCATTGGGATTTGCTGGTCACCATGAACATGTCTCGCTGGGGATTTTTAATCATCACCACCTTATAA